TGACTGTCACAGAGCACCACGACCTGCTCCAAAACCCGGCAGAGTTCCTGCTGGGGAGAGACTGGGCAGATGAAGTCCCAGGGAGCCACACAGAGGAACCTGTAACAGAAAGAGATTCTTTAGCAAGTTACTGTATGCGGCTGCAATCTCCTATTTAAAGAAAGTGTATCCAGGCTTCTGCTCTTGGCAGCTCGCATAATAGCAACCTTGGCATGTTCCAAGAGCTGCACAAACACTAACTAATGGGAACAAAACTCCCAGCTCTTGCCAGTGGATGAAGGAACCCTCTGTTGCGATTTGCTAAGGGTGGATTTTAATAGCAATTAATTTGACAATGTAGGAACTTGGGGCTGAATTTATTTTTAAATGTTCAAGCTTGTCCCAGTTGCCGACACCTACCTCAGTAAGCCCTTCATGTGCTGGCTAGATTCAGCTGCCCCTACATTCCTGAACAGTTCATCTTCTGACTGGGAAACTGACAACGCTGGACAAATGGGAGAGCAACATGTATGCAAAAGAGGTTTGGGGGCATAAGATTTAAACTGAAACTTGTAAGTGACAAGTGCTGACTAGTGCAGAAATTATGTCAGGTAGACCTGGTGCAGGAAGCAATGTCTTGCAAATCACACTTCCTCGATTCCCTGCAGAATCCCACAAGGCCCTGCCTGAAACCAGCATCATTTCTCAGCTCTCTCTGCTATAAGCAGCGTTAGGAACATAGTCAGCATGTCAACAAAGCATCCACAACCCAGCCTTCTATATTCCTGGGTAACCCTTAAAGCCATAAGTCACAACTGTCTGATTAGCTACACTCAGCTTTTCCCAGAGAGCTTAGGTTCACAAAGTTAGGCCCGAAATCGACATTCCAGCACCTAACCAAGTGTCAACATTTTCAGAGGAGTCAAGATCCCGCAGTGCCAGCGGAAGTCAACATCAACCCTTCAATGGGGGCCAATGGCTCACTCTCTATTTCAGACATTACAACAGCTGCTAGGTCCAGAATGGTTTTCCTCTGTGAGGAGTGCGGCCTATCCTAGGTTTTACTGCAGATTTACAGGTTTTACAGCTGATTCACCAGATACTCACTCCTGTTAGGACATACAGACTTCAGCATGCCTACTGCAGACAGATTCGTGTCTGAACCAATGCCCACGTAGTAAATGGGAGGTTCTCCATTGACTTCAATGGATATCAATCAGGCCCTGGATAAATTTTATTTGTACATGCATGTTTTATCCTTATTCAGAAAATTGCACTGTTAACCCCTTCACACCCATGGCAGGTAGATATCTATATACAAGAATTGTTCAAAATCCCATGCCAACTGAACAACCCTATGCATTTATGTATGTAAATGTATATAAATATTCACTGTCATACATATGGATACAAATCAATTCCTAGCCTATGTGGCCATGCATGCACAGAGAGGCAAGTAGTTAACACATATTTCCGTTCCTTCATCTCACCTGATGCATGTGAGAGATTTTGGCACATCTGTGCCTCTGGGCAGTAATACCCATATGGGGCCAGGAAACGCCAAGAAAATCTCTCCACATTCTTCTGCTGGGGAGAAATTGCAAAACAAAGCAAGGATCTTGCAGGGACACAGGTCTTTGGGCATGGAGTCCTTGTGTGTCCCCCTCACCATTACCTGGCAACACAACTCAGTCCTCAGCTAGTGCTTGCCCTTAGGAGTTTCAGTGGGAAACTCTCCAGAGCCAGTGGGGAGGGGAAGAAGGGCAATGCACATTCTCCCTGACCTACCCACTTCCCTCAGACAGACGGCCATCCAGAGAAGCAGGTAGGGATGCTGTTATGGAGACGGCTGACCTGCTTTCCGCCATTCTGTATGGCAAGGGTAACCACGGTACTGTCTGGCCCTTACCCACTTATACAGCCCTTCCATCCCAGAGCGCATAGCAAATGTAACCAAATGATCCTCCAGCTCTACAAAGAGATCACTCACCCAGCAACCATTCTATGCTGAAATGCAAAGGTATTTACTACTAATGCTAATCAGGTTAGGAGAGAGGTGAATTAAAACAGCACAGGGACTTTAAGGAGAAAAACTGAACTTACCAGAGCAGAAAGGAAGGATTTGGTACCATTTTCAAAGTTCAGAAAATACATTAATGCCACACAGGAGTTCTTTGCAGTGTAGTTAATCTTCACAGGGAGAACACAGTAACCTGCTCCTTACTTGTTACATGTGCATCAACAGCTGTTGAGGGCTACACTGATCTTTCCTTTCATGTCTATCCGCATACAGCAGACAGGTTCCCGCTTAGTGGCTTACAATGGGATCCCAGCACGAAGGCAAGCTGAACTGAAAGAGAGCCCACGCTTCATAGCTCCACAGAACAAAAAAGATCGGTGGGTTGAAATCTGATCAAGTAGGAAAAAATGGCTCTGGTACATGGACAGCAGCTAGACATTGGCATGAAAATCAAGCGGAACTGAAGAGGCCATCTGAGATGAAAGATTCAAAGAGCAATTTTCTACTCTGCCCCAAAGAGGAAGATCTGTAAAAAATATCCTTGAGGCAATTGCAGAATCTTACTACTAAATGCATATTGAGAGACAAGTAATGGGAAAGCTAAGGGCACAAACCTGAAGGAAATGTGATTATTAAGAAAAGGAGTACTTGTGGCACCTTAGAGACTAACCAATTTATTTGAGCATGAGCTTTCGTGAGCTACAGCTCACTTCATCAGATGTATATATATATACATATATCATAGAATCATAGAATCATAGAATATAAGGGTTGGAAGGGACCCCAGAAGGTCATCTAGTCCAACCCCCTGCTCGAAGCAGGACCAATTCCCAGTTAAATCATATGTATATATATACATGTATATATACATATATACATCCGATGAAGTGAGCTGTAGCTCACGAAAGCTCATGCTCAAATAAATTGGTTAGTCTCTAAGGTGCCACAAGTCCTCCTTTTCTTTTTGCGAATACAGACTAACACGGCTGTTACTCTGAAACCTGTGATTATTAAGGTGATCAAGAGAAATGGAGGACAATCAGCAGCACATACCCCAGGGGCAGGACATGCAACACAACTAGCCAATATAGATTTGAAATGCACTGTATGATAAAGTATATAAAATAGCACCTAGCAGAGAGAAGGTATTGAGATAAGAGATAGGGAGAGCGAGAGGCAGTCAAGACTTACTGAGGCCTACGTCCCATAAGGAGACAGGAGACCTGGCTCTATTGTGCACTGGACAGTCACACATCCCCTATTGGGATTTAACAAATGATTTAACTTTTAATAAAAGACAAGGAAACAGCCACCAAGAGAGTCATCCCAGAGAGCCGTGTGCATAGCTTTATCCAGTGGCCAACTGCAGCGCTCAGCACCTCCACACAGCTGTCAGCCAGTTAACTAAACACAAGTGCAGCATAGAACAGCTGTTGCAATAATGTGTCAGGCTTGTCATTCCCCTGCAAGAGTAACCAATAGGAGTGCAACAACTCACAGTGTAACCCCCATGCATAGAGCCTCTTAACCCTTGAGGTGCTGAGTATCTACCAGGAGCTCCCGCAGCAGACCCTGCATCGAGCAGCAAGCCCGGTCGCCCCCATACATGTGAGATCAAACTGCGCCCCTGTTGCAGCGCTGGGAACAGATCACACCAGTGCCCCTGTCACACAACCGGCTACAGCCTCCCCCAACAGATGCCATCCTCATTCTCCCCACCTGCAGCCTGCCCCACACCCCCTCCCCGGGTCTCCCCCACAAAGCCCCCCCTCCCCAGACACAGATCCTTCACCCCTAGGTGCCTCCCCATGCCCCTCCCCCCACAACACCCCCTTGTGATCCAGCCCCCCTACCCTAGAGCTCCCCCTTGTGATCCAGCCCCCCACAGCCCCTCCCCCACCCTACAGCTCCTTGTGATCCAACCCCCCACCCTACAGCTCCACCTCGTGATCCGGCCCCCCACAGCCCCTCCCCCTCGTGATCCGGCCCCCCACAGCCCCTCCCCCTCGTGATCCGGCCCCCCACAGCCCCTACTCCCACCCTACAGCTCCCCCTCGTGATCCGGCCCCCACAGCCCCTCCCCCTCGTGATCCGGCCCCCCACAGCCCCCTCCCCCCCGGATGCGTGATCCGGCCCCCCACAGCCCCTCCCCCTCGTGATCCAGCCCTCCACAGCCCCTCCCCCTCGTGATCCGGCCCCCCACAGCCCCTACTCCCACCCTACAGCTCCCCCTCTTTATCCCCCCCCCCCCCCCCCCCCCCCCTCCCCCCCCCCCCCCTCCCCCTCGTGATCCGGCCCCCCACAGCCCCTACTCCCACCCTACAGCTCCCCCTCGTGATCCGGCCCCCCACAGCCCCTCCCCCTCGTGATCCGGCCCCCCACCCCCCCCCCCCCGTCCGGCCCCCCCTGCCCCCCCCCACCCTACAGCTCCCCCTCGTGATCCGGCCCCCCACAGCCCCTCCCCCTCCATTCTCCGGCCCTCACCCAAGGGCTCCCCAGCCTCAGGGCCGGGACCCCATCCGTCCCCGGGGGCCCCGGCCCGCCAGATCCCCAGCCCCGCACTCACCTGGCGGCGGCGGCAGCGGCCCGACCGCGGCTGGACGGTACCGGCCCATAGTGATCTGCTGCTCCTCCAGCTGCTGCCCCGGCGCTTGCTGTGCCTGCCGAGCCAGGCCGGAAGCGCAGGTCCCAGGGCTCCCTGGGAGTTGTAGTCCCTCATCGGCAGCCCCCCGCCCACCCGCCAGAGAACCCCGTGGCTCTTGGACTACAAACCCCAGCAGCCCTAGGCCGCCTTGCCCTGATTGGTGCTCATCTGCTCACTCTATGCCGCAATCCATGTCACTATTGGCCACTAGTGTACGTCCCTCAAAGCTCCTGCCCAATCGCACGGCTAAAAACGAGTCTCTGGCAGGACTGGTGCGTAGGGGGAGCAGCTACCAATTAGAGCCGGAGGAGGCGGGGCTTTTCCGAAACGAGTGTTTGTGACTGGCTGTGCGGGAGGCGGGGGTGGCCATAAAGGTCGCGCTAGGGGGCGGAGACTCTCTCTCTCTGCGCGGCGGTGGCTGAGGTGAGGCGCCGCGGAGGCCCCTTGCCGGGGGAGCCGGCCCGGGCCCTCCGGGCAGCCCGCGGGGCGCTCCGCGCTGAGGGAGGGGCCGGAACCCAGGCGTCCGGGCCCGGCCCCGGTGTGGGGGGCTGCCTGCGGGGAGGGGGCTAGACACGGGGCGGCGAACACGCTCTCCAGCTCTAGTGCGGACGGGCCGGGGGCGGCTGGAACCCGTGTTAGCTGGGCGGGGCCGGGCGGCCCAGACCCCCCCCCCCGGCTGGCACGTGTTAGACGCCTGGGGCTGCGGAGGCTGATGCCGAGTGTGAGGCGGGGGGGGCGGGGGTCGCACGTGCCGGCTGGGCGGGTCTACACTTGGAGCGGCGGGCAGGGCTTGATTCGATTCCCCCCCCGCTCATGTAGTGAGCCAGGCAGGGTGGGCGGGTCTACACTTGGAGCGGCGGGCAGGGCTTGATTCGATTCCCCCCCCCCCCGCTCATGTAGTGTGAGCCAGGCAGGGTGGGCGGGTCTACACTTGGAGCGGCGGGCAGGGCTTGATTCGATTCCCCCCCCCCGCGCTCATGTAGACTTAGCGCGCTGCGCGCTGTCCGTGCCGGCGTAGCTGTGTAAACCGGGAAAAGACAAGGAGGACTGGGGGCACCTTACAGGCTAACCAGGTTATCTGAGCATAAGCTTTCGGGAGCCACAGCTCGCTTCCCCGGACGCCAACTGGGGATCTCGTTCCCCCCCGCCCCATGCCAAGTGTGGACGTAAGCGGCATGGCGGGCTAACGTCTTACAGCTGTCCTGCGTATGCGCTGTTCAAAACTTGTTCCCTGCCATGGCTTTAATGCACCTGTTTTTTCTAGTATATACTTAACCTTGGGGTCTGCTACTGACGCAGGCTTGCCCAAGTTGAAGGTCGGACCAGCTGCTGTTGTGGCAGTTGCTGTGTTAACCGTTGCGATGTGTGTCCTGCCAAGGGTAGCCTGCGATGAGCTTTCAATTTCTGACACCCCCATGAGTATTGCCCAAGCAGTACTTGATTACACTTCATGCCCGAGGCTGCACCTTTGTTCTTGTAGCTATCATTCCTTGTTTGAGATGTATTAACTGGTGTGGCTTTTTTTAGGTTGCTGGATGGTCTGGTGAGCCCAAGTAGAGGTGAGTCTAGACCAGTGATTCTTGTTAAAATGAGGCCATGAAGTCTGCATGTTTCAACTGGGACAGCAAACCCTAAACTTGAGCCAATGATGAGTGACTTTATTTCTGACACCTCGTCTGAAAACTGTACCTGCAGTATTTGATTATGGTTTTCTTGGCTGAGGCTCAGACTAGTTTTAAATCTTGTTCAGGTAAAGGTGAAAATCCTCTGACAAGGACTGGAATAGAGAGGTTTGTAATCTATGCGGGGGGAGTCAGTTTGCTACTTGTTTTACTACTATGTGTTTACTGGTTGGAGTGTAATGCTGCTGTCTCTTTGTAGGAATGAAATGGACCAGAAGAGCAGCTCACTTCCATTGTTGGCATCAAAAGGACTGTAAATCTCTAATTCAAATGCAGAGACTGTAATTTGGATTTACTTTAAAGCACTTGTGACCTGTTATGCATTTTGAATGAAACATGAAAAGTATATTGTATGAATGTAAATGAAATGCAAGTCTTATTAAACAGAGTGAAACAACTTGCGGTTCTTTTAATGTGAGACTTTCCTATTCATTCACACAACATGCTAAAGAAATGTTCACTCCTGGGTGAAGGTTGTTTGTGCAGATGGAATTTTTTGGAGTGCTGGTCTAAACTGCCATAAAACTCAGTACTATTTGAAGGGCAGGGGGCATTTCTTTGGCTTTATCTTAACCTTTTATTTAATATGTTCTATATATTATTTGTAAACAGGAACTTCAAGTTTCCCCTTTGATGATGACCACCAATGGTGGTTCCATTGCTTATTGGAAGAGCCTGTGGGGGGAGGGGGGGGAGCAGGAGAAGAATATGCTGTTAAACTGTTGTGGTGTGCAGGAAAGAATCATCATTTTATCTGGAAAAGATGATCCTTAATTCCATGCTGCTCTATGGCATGTAGCTTTGGCCCAAGGTTCAGTAACCCTTAGCCTTATTTTGGTGAGGTGGGAAGTAACAGCTAAAGCTAACAATTCTGTGTTCAAAGATGGTCTTAGACTTTGGTAGATAATCCAACTGAGAAACCCCATTTTAATAAGCTTGATAACACATTCTAGCCAGATGTTTAATCTAATTCTACCATAGTTCATACAATGAGGAATTCTTTGGTTTACTGCTCTGGCCTTCAGTAATGGATAGAGAAGTCAGTCATTTTTTTTAAGCCCAGTGATGGAAGAAAGCTGTCTTGATATTTGGAAAAAACTAAGCTACAAAGAAAGTCAAATTCTATTGAATAATGGCAAACTTGTAGCAATACCAAACAACTTGTCTTAGTCAAGGAGAATCTAAGAATGGCCTCTGAGCTGGATTTACTTAATTTTCAATACTGAGTATGGAACTCAAATTTTCATAAACATTTGACAAAGTGTCTAATGCAAGTCGGTGTGTGGGTTTGATGGTATCCTGAACATGCTATCCATTGGATGGGTCAGGACCTCCAATATAAAAGCTCTATTCTTTGAAGCTGTTTGGGAGTAGTGGTGTGAGCTGCAGTGCTTTTCACAGCCTTCCTTGGTGGAAGGTATGACAATGTAGGCTCTAGAGGGAGAGAGCAGATGGATTGTTACAGAATAGTCTACTCACATCGCAGGTTAAGATGAACTGTATCAGTCTGTTACTAGCAGGATTTAATAGTAAATTCACTACAGTTAACTTCTTGAGGTATCTCCAAAGAGAAGTATGGAAAGGTTAAACCTTTGATTTGACTTGCCTTGGAATTATGCAGAAAACTCCTGGTTTTTTTGGATACCTACCATAAAGGTAAAGTTAATTGGCCTAGCCTAGAGCAGTAGACAATGTAGGTGTTCTCAGTAGAAAAGTACAGGAGTGAACATTGGACTCTGTGTAGAGCCAGTTTGGGGACCAGTTAGATCTGAAATGTAGTGAAGTCAGTTTAAATTAGAAAAGGTTCAGAAAAGGGCAACTTAAATGATGAGGGATTTGAATGGGTCCCATATGAGGAGAGATTAAAGAGGCTAGGACTTTTCAGCTTGGAAAAGAGGAGACTAAGGGGGGATATGGTAGGTCTATAAAAATCATGAGTGGTGTGGAGAAAGGGAACAAGCAAATAACTTTTCTTTGTTCATATAATTAGAACTAGGGGCCAAATGAAATTAATGGGCAGCAGGTTTAAAACAAAAGGAAGCTCTTCACACTGTGCAGAGTGAACCTGTGGAACTCCTTGCCTGAGGAGGTTGTGAAGGCTAAGACTATAATAGGGTTTAAAAGAGAACTTGATCATTACCTGTTAAGTTCACTTCCCTCTGGGGCACCTGGTATTGGCCACTGTCAGCAGACAGGATACTGGGCTGGATGGACCGTGGATCTGACCCAGTGTGACCGTTCCTGTGTTGGTTCTTGGTGATGGAAGTGATTTGAGAGATCAGAGATTGTAATACAGGTGCTTCCTACAGCAGGGGAAGGGGTTTCTGTGGGCTGAGTGAGTAAACAGCTGAGGGTGTTGGGTTTTATTTTTGTTTCTACTTAGCTCTCTATTTTGAAACCAAGATACCATTGTCAAGACTCAGGCTCATTTAAAAAAATTTATTAAGAGGAACAGAACATTAAAAACTGTAAAACAACTGACAGCAAGTTTTTAGTGCACACAACACTGAGTTCTTAGGCTTGTTTATGATTGAATGTACTGAATAATTCTTCCTTGCTTGGTGGCAGTAAAAGCCCATGTAAAAATAGATGCCAAGAACTTAACAAGTCCCAGGAGGTGCTGCAGTAGAGTGTAGGTTAGTTTTGAGAAATAGACTGCAGAAGTCAAGCAGCAGAAAGGGCTTTAATCAAGTGCAGTGGGATATTTAGTCTTATTTTTAAAGTCTAGGCTTTTAACCAGAAAAAATATCAGTTTTTTGATACTGGCTGTTTGTTTTAATAGCAGAAATTATCAGTGTTTGCTTCACACCAGGGGGATTTAATTGGGGAGGAAGGCAGGAAAGCACACTGCAGTGACATTGACATTTTTTACTCATATCTGATTTTAAATAATTCTATTCCTACTGGCAGATTTTAAAGAATGGAGGTGGGGGTTCTTTTCAGGTTTATTAAAGACAGCAAAGCTCAAAGGATTATGCCCTGCTAGGAGAGAGGCAGCAATCTACCAGAATTTTAGGATTAAGTATTAATTAAGGATTAAGTATACTGGTGAGTTTTCCAGAAGGATTTTGCAATTAGCTGTCACTGTTCGGCATCTCCATACAGTGAATGAGGCTGGTGTCTTGCAGGGGGGGCTCACCATATGCTTCTCCACACTGAGAAAGTTCAGGTACTGTTAGACCACTGAAAACTAGTTTTTTTTTAAAAGCAGAATCTAACAATTTTCAGCGTATGGGTGATTTCACTACATAGGTACTGAAGGAATGGCCTAAGTTCACTAGTGCTGGGTTCTGACCATTTCCAGTTCAGTGGCAGGCAGGGGGAAGTACTTCCTTTAGGTGCCACACAGTGGCACCAGACCCAAGGAGAGGAGCAGAAAGCTCCTTGAAGGACTTTGCTTTGCAGATCAAAAGGAGAAGTGCGTGCTCCAGAGGCCAGATCCAGACTGTCATTGCCCAAATGAACAGTAGTGATGCTCTAATGTCCCCATGTATATTTCTGCTAGGTCCTCTCCTAGCCCTAGACAACTACCTCTGCCTAAAAAGAAAAGGAGGACTTGGGGCACCTTAGAGACTAACATTTATTTGAGCATAAGCTTTCGTGAGCTGCAGCTCACTTCACTGGATGTGTCTGATGAAGTGAGCTGTAGCTCACGAAAAGTTTATGCTCAAATAAATGTGTTAGTCTCTCAGGTGCCCTAAGTCCTCCTTTTCTTTTTGTGAATACAGACTAACATGGCTGCTACTCTGAAACCTGCCTCTGCCTAGGAGTTCTGCAAATACACTGTAGTGACTCAGAATATTGGTGCACAGTCAGTAGCAGCAGAGTCAATAAAGAGGAATGCCACTTTTCTCCATTAATATTTTCAGCCAAAGCAGTTATGCGCAGTCTAATAAGAGGGAATGAGCCTGGCTAACTAAGAAGAAACCTATTTGTCAGCTGGGCAGGCAGGACAGCTACTGATGTTAGCAGCAACAGGAGCACAGCAAAGCTCACCTGCACACCGTAATGCCCTTGTCCAGACTCAATCTCCAACTCCTGCTCTGCCCTTGCTGCTGCTTACAAGCTTGAAAAAAGTGAAAACAGCCACGAATTGGGTGATTTTAAGGCGGATAGTTCTGTGGTCTAATGTGAGACTCGCATGGTTATTGCAACACATGGCTACCTTTACACAGAGCAAGTAGCTTATATTTAAAAGGTAGCACATTGTTTCCTCACAAGAGATATGCTGTATTTACTCATGCAAAATAGTTTCTCTGGAGAATAGGCAAGAGATCTTAAACCATCTTTGCACTGCTGAACAAATGCCAATTAATACATGCTGTCCACTTGCATCTTTTCAAAAACACACTCTGTTCCCTGCATTTGGCTTCTATGATCTCTCAGACACAGCTCTGACCAGGAGAGGATCAGACAAGTTTGCTGAATCCAGTACAGTCGTTGCACTTCACTGGGCCCTGCTACAGGGCACACCAGCTGCATGGAGACAACGGCCCGGAAGTGCGGTCCGCATGACGCATTTAGTTACCTGCAAACACTTGCAGAACAGCACACTGAGTCCTGTCCAATAACACGCCTGGTGGGGTCAGTTATTTATAGCAGAGAGCTGGGATTTATCAGCATCTCCCTCTTCAGGCCAAGGTTCACATCATGTTAACTGCTGCAGTCCAAAGATTTTCATCAAAACATTTTTTGACAAAAAAACAAATCAAACTTTTTTTTGGTAGATTTTTTTTGTTTGTTTTGAAGGAAAACATGGTTTTTGGTTTATGAAAATAAAAAAAAATCTGTTTACAGGTTTTAAGCAAAAATCTGAAAAAAATTAATGAGAAATTTAAGGAAAAATTTCAAAATTTCCAAGGGAAAATAATTGCCATGTTTTGACGAGGCCTGGCTTGCAACTTTTCTTTTTAGGACTCTTCCTTGCCCTTACGCTGCTAATAAAAATGCATCAGACTGACCTTAACAGAGTATCTGCAATTCTTTGTACAACACTCACCATAAAAGTAGTTCATTGTGGAAAAGTGACTTTCTCTGCGGCCTGAGACCATTGCTTCAGTGGCTGTGCCTGGATCCTGCATTCCTTTCAAACTCCAAGCTCCCCTTGGCAGGAGCAAGATTTAGGTGTGGACAGAATGCAGCATCCCAACTTAACTTGGTTCAGCTGAACAGAACAAGGGGGTTGATTTTAATGAGCTAAGTAATCCCCAACCGGCTTGCAGCTGGTGGGGATTTGATTTGCTGATTAAAAGAACTATTTATTTCACAATTAAAGTGGTGTTGGGAAATTCAGTGCAATTAACCCTGATAGTCATAAATATGAAATTTGCAACTATCTGCAGTTAAAAATCCCCTTTTGGCAACGATGTCTCTCAACTCTCCCAAACATTGCATTTAGAAGTACATTACAAAAATAACACTGCTAAAAGACAAAGGGGCGGGGGATTCCAATGAACAGTGCTGGCAAAGGGCTTTTAACAAACCTGTACAGTTAAAACCTATAGCATTCTCCTTGGTTTTCTTTAGCTGAAAGCAAGATCTATCCCAAAAGAGTTTTAAAGAAATCAAAGCAGCATGGCAGTCTGAAAACGCTATCAGCCACGTTAGGATAGTTAGAATAAGCTGCAATACATTGGGGGTTTTTACTCACTCAGAATACTAGAAACAGCAATAATGGAGAGCAAAAGCCTTTATCAAACATGTAAACAATCAGGGTTTCTCTGTTCAACAGGTACGTTTGCAGGAGCTTACTCAAAACAAGATAGCTAAGCTCTTGTCTTTTGCAGGGCAGAGCAGGAGAAGGCTCTAGCAAGGAATATATATTATACAACATGGTAAAACTGATGTATGTAACAAGGGAGAGACTACAAAAATGTTTGCCTTGAAAACAGAGATCTCTCTTGGGCATGTATATAGATCTATAATACACACAAAATGTACCCTGGGCCAAAATGTTTTCATAATTGAATCCCAAGTGGGAAAAGAAAAATGGAATGGAGCGGGGTAGCCCAGAAACAGTTATGAGTGGGGGAAAGTTTCCCTCAGTCATATAATAATACCTAGCACTTCTATAGAGCTTTTTGAACATTTATCCTCACAATGCTCTCTGCTGCTGGGTAAGTATTATCATCTCCATTTTATAGGTGGGGAAACCGAGGCATAAGGCGGTCAAATGACTTGCCCAAGGCCACAGAGGGAGTAAGTATCAAGAGTCCCCATGATAACAGGAGTTCTTGATGTCTAGGTGTGCGTGTGGACCAATACCAAACTCCTCTTTGGACGCGTTGGAGAAAGTCTGCGTCAAACCCATGTCAGGATTAGCAACCGTTAGCTCGCAGGAATGGACAGGTCCCCAGTGACTGACGTGGGACAGATGGTTTTGTCCCCCTGGGAGGAACTTGAAGTTTTACACCCCCCCCGAAGCGATCACAGCATGTAATTAAGGAATACTACTACAATGGGGTGTTGGGCCGCGGGGCCTGGAATGAAGCGGCTGCACCAGAGCCAGCGTCGGGGCTGCCAGGACAGAGCCTTTTCTTCTGCTCCTTTCACGCCACGTCTCAGCTCACCGTTACGAGAATACACAGACAACGAACACACATGCACATACTGTCCACGAGGAGGGAGTGTGGCACGAACACTTGGCATGAGTCTCTATACAGCTGCCCTGGCTGCTGGAGCCTGCGCTTTAGGATCTGCAGCATCCTGAGCCTCTGACTTCCTTCTTCACGTAGTCATGAAGCTTGAATTTGGGCTCATTGGGCAGCTTCATGGACCTGTGTTTCAGCTCCCTGCAGGAGAGACAGACAGGTTATCGCTTTGCCTGTAAAAGGAACCCCCGGGAGCAAATCACAGGCGGGGAAAACCTTTATCAATGCCGTCTTCATCGCAGTGCCGTGGGCCGTGGCTCATTCTCAAGCTAAGCTGGGCTGGGCTGGGCTAGGTACTTAGGCTGCGGTTCAGGAAAGCGTCTCTACTCAGGAAAGCACTTAAGCACATGGTTAAAGTCCCACTGAAGTTACATTTCAGACATCAAGTTAAATATGTTTAAGTGCTTTCCTAAATCAGTCTTAGATGCAAGACAATGCAAGAAAAAGCCTCAGAATCAACTCATCTTGCTCCTTAGATACGATTGGTACCAAAAATTAATGGAATTCAGGAGTCAACTTCAATGGTTTTTATGGCCATTTCTCAGAACTTTCCCCTGCGTATACAAAAGAGAAACAAATCCCAGAGGCTGGTTTAAAGATGGGGGCTGTGATTATTTCTTGGTGACAGAGGAGGGCTGTGGGTGAAGCTAGTTGACCCATGCTGTACCGTGGCATGCTAAGATAGAGGATAATGCCGTGCAATGGCGGGCTGTGGTTTCTGTTTCAGTGTTGAACACTCGTTTTGTGTCAGTGCGGGAAGGGAGCGGAGAACTGGGAGCGGTGCAGATTGCATTCCAACAGGAGAGGCAGCAGTAGGACAGTTAACTTACTTTGCGATGGCCGTAAAGGCCAAGTCGACATTCAAGCCGCTTTTCGCGCTGGTCTCCATGAAGGGCACTCCGTACTCCTGCAAGACAAGACCTGTCTCAGTACGAGACCCATCAGTGGCCCAGGACAGGCCACGGGTTCATGCTGTCTGCTTGGTACAAGAGAGCCCAGCTCCAGACACAGTCCCTAACAAACCCGTCTGACTCCGGACGTGCAAAGTGACAGAGGCTTTGGAATCGGACTCTGCCAGAGAGTGGTCTTGAGGGGAACGTGGCCTTTAGGGGAAACCCTGGGAGGACAGGAGGGTTTGCTAGGAAAAATACCAGGAGGGGGAGGGTTATTCTGCCAAGCACTGAAAACAGCAGCGAGGCAGCGAAGCGTGAGCAGCGTGCGGGGTGAGAAGGGGCTGGGAAAGCACAAGGAGAGGCAGAGAGCGGGAGAAGGGAGAGGAGAGAGAGGGGAAAGAAACACAAGAAATGAAAAAGCCAGGCCATGCAAGGCAGCACTGCGCAGGCTCCTTCCCACTACAGACTGGCCCCTGCACCAGCCTTCAGCCCCGGAGACTCATAGTTTAGCGGCTGTAGCCTCATAGCTTAACTGTAAATGCAACTTTCCCAAGCAAGTGCAAGCAGCAGCTAATTTATCTGGGCAAAGTCTTGGGCTGCGAGGACACACGTACCTTGGCTAATTTCTCTCCGTCTTCCCTTTTTACCACTCTGTCCTGGGTCGAATCCACCTAGCAGCGATAACAACAAAGAGCAATTTGCAATGGATCAGCAGAGCAATGTCCGGCAAAGCTAAGGAGCGCGGGCTGACACAGACATGAATAGTGCAGTCACTCAGCATCCCCGCCCCCCGCAGCATCACCAGTAAATCACATTTCACTTCACTGACAAGAGAGCTGGGCCAAAGGAGGTGGTGTCTTTTCTCCCATACACGCGCTGGGGAGATCAGCTTGAGTTGTTGGAGCCGGGAAAGCACAAGGAGGGCTAAGGCTGCGATTTCTGTGCCATGACTTGTTGCTCGAGGAAAGGGGGCATATGGTCTAATGCGCAGAGCAAAAGAGAGAATTGGGACTCCTGGGTTCCATCCACGGCTCTGTCATTAACTTGGCCTTGAACAAATCCACTTAGCTACTCTGTGCCTCAATTTCCCATCTATAACACGGAGAGACGAACACTTTCCGGTGTCGCAGGGGGGATGGGAGACAGCATTAACTTATGCCTGTTGAATGCTCTGAGATCCTTGAATGACGGCTCCATAGCAGGGCAGAAAGACTAGAATTATCGAGTTGGAGAACTAAGTAATGAATCGACGCACACTTGGCTTCAGCCCCGGAGAGAGATTAAAGCCACACTTGTCCAAGGAGTCTCCTGCAGTGAATGGATGGAGTGGCAGGGCTGCCCTAAACCGATTCAACAGGGAAACAAGCACACATCTGATGTTTGATCCCTACCCAGCAAAGATACAATCAATCCAGGTCAATCGCCAGGTCACTGCTCTGTAGATAAAGGGGAAGGAGCCATGCATGGGGGTAAGGGGTGGACAGCAATGTACCCTGAGGGTGTGGAAGAGTAGGCTGAAGTAGAAATTAAATTCAGCGAGTTCCAGACAGGCTCACAAAGGTATTCACTTCAAAGAAGTTCCTAGAGACACCCCGGAACGAACAAGAGAGACCACTGGTCCATGCACACCCAGGCAGATGCAGGCAGGTCCCGATCAGACTCATCATCCAGCTGCTGGCACGATGCAATAAACAAGAAGTGTTTGTAATTCACTTAGGTTAGCGGAAACAACCAGCACTGTGTTGGAGTTGGCCTCTTGTTTCCGGCAGCAGCCCCCTCCCTGGTAACGGGAACGGAAAGGCTAAGGCGGGATTTGTAAGTGAGATCTGAATGAAGACAAGAACGATTCTTTTAATTCCCGAAGCTTTGCTTCCAATTCACTATTCCTGGGAGGGCTTCTGTAATGTTCTTGTAAATCAACTCTTATGACATGAAGGAGGGAACAGTCTCAGGCCGACAAAATTGGAGTCTGGTATCAGAGAAGAATGTGACAAGTGTGCCTGGCTCTGGGTAGCACAGCTCCTGCTCTCAAACCCAGGGGAGCAAACCTAGTGGAGCAGCCAGAGAAGCATCAGGCTGCTTGGATCCAGAGGGCACCTGGTCTTACTGGGAGCTGCCCAGGTTGAGGATGCAGCTGATTGGGATCCATGCTAGTTCACGAGCAAGTCGGGTTTGGCCCTTTGACTCCTGGCCAGGCGGCTGACCACAGTTTAGGTGTCCCAATGTTTATCACTAAAGAGAGAGAAGGCAAGGATCTGTCCGTCCGGATCTCCGCTGCTCAGGAGGGAAAGCAAGTGCTGAACCAACCCTCAGAGAAGCATGATCATGGATCCCCACAGGCAGGGACTGACATATAGCCAGGCTCTACGGACACCTCTTCATTCCTCCCACTCAGGACCCGCTTTGTAGACTAGGGAAGAAACGCAGTAAAGCAGCTCAGTAAAGCAGGTCTCCAAACAGGCCTGTGTGTTCCATACTGAACATGCCCCTGTTCCTCCGGAGCCTACCCATGGAAAGCACCTCTCATTTCATAGGCACCCAAGAATCAAACACTGGCCAAGTAATAACTCACAGACCCAACCTGGGCTGCCTCTAGAAAAGAGGACATTAAGGGGGGACATCTATCGTAGTCTTCAGATACTTGAAAGGCTGCCATAAAAAAGATGGAGAAAAGTTGTTCTCTCTTGCCACAGAGGGCAGGGCAAGAGGCAACGTGTTCAAACTATAGTATTTAGATTAAATCTCAGGAAAAACTCCGTAACTGTAAGAACAGTTGGCCAATGGAGCAGACGCCTTTGGAGGACGTGGAAGCTCCTTCACTGGAGGTTTTCCAAAGGAGGCTGGAGCTGTCTGTCTTGGAAGGTTTATGCACAATAAATCCTGGATCTTCGCAGTGGGTTAGACTATGGATCTATGAGGTCTAGGATTCTAAACTTAGGTCAAGTAGCTACCTCACACAGGGTGCAAAATTCTTCACAGCCCCGAGCAATGTAATTAGGTCAACCTCACCTCACTGTAGACAGCGTTAGGTCAATGGAAGAATTCTTCCATTGACCAGGGGGTGGATTTAATACAGCGACGGAAACGCCCCCTGTCACTGTAGTAAGGGCCTGCACTACAGCGGCGTACAGGGGCTTGCAGCCCACATTCCCCCCACAGTGGAAGCCAGCAAAATCTGTTAGCAGACTGGGCCCAGTGTCTGCAAAGTGCCTCAAGATCCTTGGAGCAAAGAGGTGATAGATGCCCTAAGCATCACTAACTCTGTACAGTAGGGTCTGGGCATGCTGACATCAGGCAACGATGTAACAAAGTGAAAAAACGGGAGTTTCCCCCAAGCAGTATCACACATCCCAATTTTGCAAACCAGCTGAGTCAGATGAACAGGGCTCTGCCAACACAGACCTCCCCAGACACAGGACCCCGCTCACCTCCATGTCAGTAACTGGCCACCTCACCCCAGGGTCACTCACGCAGCTGGTAATTTGGATACTCAGAAAGGGAGCCCAATCACTGGTAAGGGTCAGGCCCTTAGACCAGCAAATGCCGCAGCACAGTGAGGGCAGGGCACTGCTGGACATTTAGCCCAGTCTGCATCCCCCATAACCTAATTCTCCTGCTTACATTTGCTAAGAGACCTTGCTGAGGGCCCAGCAGCACCAGAAGCCTCCTGGGGAGGTTCCCCAGCTCTGAGTGATGCCTGCTTCACGGAGCATAAAGAACAAAGCGGATTTCCTGCCAGCTCGAGATGAAGGCATCCCTGGGCTCTCGAGAGCCCCCAACATTTCAGGCCAATGTTAGGCTTTGAAACCACATCTGCAGATGGTTAATGCCCATTACGGTGGAGCTCCCATAGGCGGGGGGGCGTCCTGGTCCTGACTGGCAATGAGACAGCGTGACTGCCTGGAAACTAGCTTGGCTACGTGGCCGGGCCCAACTCACCTTATTTCCCAGGAGCATGAGGACCACATCTTGCTGTGCGTATTCATGGATCTCGGTCAGCCACGCCTAGGAGGGAAAGAGAACAGAGGCTGCACAGCATGGGTAGAGACAATTCCGGACGGAGGAGCTCCAAGAGGGAGCAGGCCGCAGTGGGGCCAGTTCACAAAGCTACCCGCTTCCCAGGCCTGCCACCCGGGGAACATGCCCAGCCCTGGCGGTGGGAGACATCTGATCCATTCACTTCATACACACGTGCTATCTGATTGCCATGTTTTGCTATTCACATGATTGTGGCCTTTCCTCTAAGATCAAACACAGCATCCCTTTAACATCTTACTGGGGGACCTGCAGGGAGACAGACTCAATCCCCTATAGCGCATGCATTTCCTAAAGCCATGATGAACGAGGCTACACAACCTACTGGAAGAAGTTTGGATAAGTCTCAGCATCTCCCTCTGCCCTCAGTGATGTAACACAGTCCTGTGGAGCTGAGCACCCCCTGGCGTGCAGCCTCTGATTTACAGGGGCAGGACAGCTGGGGGACTGATTAAATCGTTACAAGAAAAAGACAGATTTCTGGCTGCAAGGGCACGTATCAACAAGGACACGTTGCTGTTGCTTGGAGAGCGGCTCTTTGACTGCAGACACCAGGAACGCTAACAAGATAGACCCTGCTGGGCCCTGCCATTAAGGCTCAGGGCTGCCGAGAGCAGGGACACACTCAGCACACTTACCCTGCACGGCGGGGAGGCTGGATTGAGGGGAAGGGTGTCTAGGAACAATTTTCATAGAATCATAGGACTGGAAGGGACCTGGAGAGGTCATCTAGTCCAGGCCCCTGCACTCATGGCAGGACTATCTAGGCCATCCCTGACAGGTGTTTGTCCAACCTGCTCTTAAAAATCTCCAATGATGGAGATTCCACAGCCTCCCTGGGCAATTTATTCCAGTGCTTAACCACCCTGACAATTAGGAAGTTTTTCCTAATGTCCAACCTAAGCCACCCTTGCTGCAATTTAAGCCCATTGCTTCTTGTCCTATCCTCAGAGGTTAAGAAGAACAATTTTTCTCCCTCTCCTTGTAACAACCTTTTATGTACTTGAAAACTGTTATCATGTCCCCTCTCAGTCTTCTCTTCTCCAGACTAAACAAACCCAATTTTTTCAATCTTCCCTCACAGGTCATGTGTTCTAGACCTTTAATTATTTTTTGTTGCTCTTCTCTGGACTTTCTCCAATTTGTCCACATCTTTCCTGAAATGTGGTGCCCAGATCTGGACACAGTACTCCAGCTGAGGCCATATCAGCATGGACTAGAGCAGAAGAATTACTTCTCGTGTCTTGCTTACAACACTTCTACTAATACATCCTAGAATGGTGTTCGGTTTTTTTTCAACAGCGTTACACTGACGACTCATATTTAGCTTGTGGTCCACTATGACCCCCAGATCCCTTTCCGCAGTACTCCTTCCTAGGCAGTCATTTCCCATTTTCTATGTGTGCAACTGATTGTTCCTTCCTAAATGGAGTACTTTGCATTTGTCTTTATTGAATTTCATCCTATTTACTTCAGACCATTTCTCCAGTTTGTCCAGATCATTTTGAATTTTAATCCTATCCTCCAAAGCACTTGCAACCCCTCCCAGCTTGGTATCATCAGCAAACTTTATAAATGTACTGTCTATGGTATTACCTAAATCATTGATGAAGATATTGAACAGAACCGGACCCAGAACCGATACCTGCGGGACCCCACTCGATATGCCCTTCCAGCATGACTGTGAACCACTGATAACTACGCTCTGTGAATGGTTTTCCAACCAGTTATGCACCCCCCCGCCCTTATAATAGCTCCATCTAGGTTGCATTTCCCATCAATAACCCATGGAGGCGGAGGCTTTGGGGTTGGTTTGTTTAAGAGGTGAAATGAGTGATTGGAGCAGGATTCCAAATGCCTTCGCACCCAGAGGATTTGCAGGGGGAAATGGCAGAGCTCATACAACCCGCCTGCAACGCAGCCAGCATCCATTACAGGTAATGGCCCTTGGGAGAGGGCTTGCAAAGAGCGGCTGCCTCCTCTCTCTCAGGGATATGGAGGGCAGCCCTCACCCTCCTCCCCAGGAGCATCTCCTCCTCTGCATGCTGACTAGACAAGGCAGCAGCAGCAGGGGGCACAGCTGCTGGAACTAGGAGTCTGCTGCACCCCCTGGCGGGAAGTAGTACTAACAACCTTAACATACGGTTTCCGACTTCAGCGCCTGCACTGTAAAAATTGCCCCGGCGCCTCTGGGAGTGGGTCATAGACAGAGCACCTTCCATCCCAGGCTCCCCAAGTGCCGCGCCTCCCTCTGCCAGTGTTAGCTACGGGTCAGACAGGAACCGAGCGCAGGCATCTGCTCTCTCAGTACTGCTGTTGCCCTCATCACCATCCTGTCTGACTTGCCCAAGATCTCTCACACACCAGCAGCATCACAGCCAGAACAGAACCCAGGCGTCCTGACTCACAAGCCCCTGTGCCGACTACTGGGCAACTGAGCCTTCGGACAGCCGGCCCTGGCAGGCCAGGACTCACACATCTCTCCATGTCATGGTCCCTCTCATCTCTGTACCAGGCAAAGTCTCTCTATGACCTTTGCTTGAAACTCTGTTCAGGAGAGGGCAGAGCATCTGGGCTGGATTCCCGATGGCTGCTGATTCCCAGAGGAGTGGGGCACTTCACTGATGTATTAACAGACCCTACTAAAGATTAGTGAATGCAGTCTCTGGCAGGTTGTTCCTGCTCTGGGTGCAGCCATAAAGCCAAGACGACTGCTTAATATAAGAACGGCCACACTGGGTCAGACCAAAGGTCCATCTAGCCCAGTATCCTGTCCTCTGACAGTGGCCAATGGCAGGTGCCCCAGAGGGAATGAACAGAACAGGGAATCATCAAGTGATCCAACCCCTATCACGCAATTCCAGCTTCTGGCAAACAGAGGCTAGGGACACCATCCCTGCCCATCCTGGCTAATAGCCATTGATGGACCTATGCTTCTCTCCTCTGCTTCTCTGAGCCTGCCTCTGATGCAGTCTAATAACAGTCACTCGGAACTCGGGGCCCCTGTAGCCACTTAACAAGAATTTTAAAACTAAATTGATCAATTTCTACCTTGAAGGCCATTTGAGTCATATGCTTATTACCCTGCTATTCTTCCTGTGCTTTTTTTAAAGGCTGAAATTAATGTCTTGCATCCAAGAATCATTCGATAACCAGGTTTTATCTCACTTCCCTCTGAAGGGCTGGGCTGGAATTAGAGTCATTCTCCCGCCGAGAAGGGGCCTATCATCAGATTTTTGTTTTCCTTGTGGAGTTCGTGTTTTTGACCATCTTGACTTCTTATCAGTGCTGCCTAGCCTAGCTTTCCCGCTGCGAGTCAAGCCTTTTGAGGGAAGAGCTCCAGATGGTTCTCTGATGGCATGAAACGCCAACGGTGCACTCGGAAATATGTGGAGAAATAACAAACAACAACAGTCCTGTCCTGATGGGGGCTGGACCTGCCGCCCCCCTTAGCTGACCAAGAGCAGAAATGATTAACCGGAGCTGGTGGTTCTGTTTTCATGGCTGACATTCAGATTTAAAAAGAAAAAAAAATCATGAAAATGCTTCAGTTTCTAGGAGGTTATTACCGAAATTTTAAAAATAATGTGGATGTTAGTCCCTAGACCAACTCACCAGTATTCACGGGACACCGGCTCTCGTTATAATCATGGATCAATAAGGATGTAGCGTAACAGGAGCTGAGCAGCAGGAACCTACTCACCCACTGAGCTCAGTGAGAGTACTTAGGTGAGTAAAGTGTGCAGGATCAAGACCATAGCGAGAAAACAATACTGAAATGGGACGTTTGTCCAAAACGATCAGATTTTTCTCTACAAGCACTAAGTCAGGGAAGGCTCTGTGTGGGTCAGACACGCCATGCAGCAGCACTGCCTTCGCTGGCCTCAGTGGACAGCGGTGGTCTTGGTTGGTTCATCCAGCGAAGTGGGTTTTAGCCCGCGGAAGCTTATGCCCAAAGGACTCCTCGTTGTTTTTGCTGATACAGACTAACACGGCTGCCCCTCTGAAACCGGACACCCTGGGATTCTAATTCTTCCGACCTGCATGGAGGCTGGCAGCCAGCACAGTACAGCACGGTCGAAAATTCAGTCTGATCTCGGATGGCGACCCCATGCTGTCAGACAGGTTGGGGAGCAGCGCTCTGTCTGCTCGGCATCATTGTCCAGATCACCCGTACAACTTGCATCTTCCATGGTAATAGACTGGGAGCCTCTCTTTCCAGTGCTGTGTGGCATGATGCACTCCAGCCCCTCTAACAGTGCCTGTTTCAGGGCCCCCAAAACAATGTATAAGATAAACAGACGTGTAGACTCTCCTCCCTCGGTCATTACTCTGTGCAGTCCGATTCCGGCTTTAGGTTAGACAGACAAATCAGGGTATTTGGGGTGAGGGACACAACTTGCCAACTTCCCTGCATGCGCTAACGACAACACTCCCGTCATTTACTGACTGACCTGAGCAGCGCAAGCAGATGCGACCCTGCCCTTCCCAAGCGCACCCGCCTTCTCAGTGCTCCGTGCACCGGCTGCAAAGCTGAGCCACCGTGCTGGTGCGCTGGGAGGTGCTCCCGCCACATCGCAGCTGAGAGCCTAGCCGCCACATGCTACCACTGCTGTCCTCCGCGGGGTCACTGCTCTAGCAGCAGCATGCTTGTCCCGCAGGTGGGGTGGCACAGTCCATCGGGCGGTCCAAGGCTGCTTAGGGCAGGCCGAGAGCTGTAGGGTGATACTAAGCCACACAGGCTGTGTCCATCAGTCTTGGAGCCAGGGACAACCACAGGGTCTGTCTGTATCCAGCAGCCTCAAATACTCTGTCTGTCCATTACTGCCAAGCAAGCCCTGAGTGCAGTCCCGTGAGAAAGACTCCAGCAGGGGAGGCAGCCGCAGGGAAGGAGAGCTGCAGCTTTCACTCTGGAGACTTCGGTGCGACCTCTCACTTCTTACCCACAGGAGCTGGCCCAGAGCCCAACC